GTTTTTGAATAGAATATATTTAAGAAGCCATGGGCAGAAACATGTTATTGCTTATTTTTTCCTCTTAATCCATTGGATTAATATTTCTTGAAGAATGGTTTGGGTTTGCAAGTTTTTTTTGGTCAAGTATAGTTGATACTGTACTTCAGAGTAGACACGTACCTTTCTTGATACATCTACAAATTTTTAGTCACACTTTCCTTTATTTTTTTCTAATTGGCGGAACACTAGCTTAGTTTGGAGGCATGTTGCCTGTACAGACCTCAAAACAAGTTTCAGAAATGGCCAAGTATAACATTTTATTCTAATGTAGTGTTCCTTTGAGAACTTTGCTGCTGTTGTCTTAAAAATGTGAAGGCAAATACCTTTGACTAGTCATGTGAATTTGAATCTAATATTGCACCTACACTGTTGTTTTATCCACATTGCTTGGGTGGTTTTGTTGCCATCACCAATATGAGGACTTTTCCGTAGTGATTCAGATTTTTGTAACGTAAATCAGATTACCTTTTTTTTTTGTTTGTTCTTTCATCTAAAAATGCCTTAGGTTTCTCATCAAGAAACTTAAATTTTCATAAGAGTGGGGTTTTTTTTGCAACAGCTTAATTGTCTGGGAGGCTTTTAAAATAGCTTTCTGTTCTACTACACATTTTTGTCTTGTATTATATACAATAACCATGTCCATTTAATTTAAAAGGGTATGTGATCGGAAGCTCTTTTCAGTAAGTCCAACACTGAGTCAGGCACCGATTCAGCCCTTCCAAGATTTTTGTTAGATGAAATTACATAATTTGTAACTATGACTGAAATATCAGTAATTAAACAAACTATTTTGTTGCAAAAAGAAAAAAAAAAAGCTAGAAGGAAACTTAGAGATCAAAGGTACAATTAAACAGTCCTGTTTCAATTTCTTCTCTCCCTTTGTTCCCCCTGCTTCGGCATGAGAAGGGCTTGGACATGCTGAGGATTGGGGAATGCTTGATTGGACTACCACACAAGAGGACAAATCTCTGGGAATGGTTATTCATCCTTCAGAGGCAGGAGCAAACTAGAATAAGAAGGCAGAAAGTGGCTGAAGCTGTTGGTTTCTTCCTTTCTCAGCTGTAAATTCTGGGTTAAATAATAGTTCTTGTGATGCCTTTAAACACACCCTTGTTAGATGCATTGTTTGCTGGAAATCACCCTCTTCATTTGATGTATGCCCTCTTGTTCCTTTTTACCATGCCAAGTGTACCCAACCATCCAAATTGGGGCTCTTTTTATTGCCAGGTACTGGCACTGCTAGCAGTGAGTACTGGGAGCTGTGTGCCAAGTATCCCTTTAGTGTAGGTTGTGCTGAAGTTAGCAATTCCTGTTATAATCCCCCTCAGTAATGTGCGCTCCTTGGCCAAAGGCAAATTGCAGGAGAGGGTTTCTAGTTCTTGTCTGACCAGTAATCTGCTGATCCCATGCTGCGCTCTTTCTTTGCCCTTTCTTTCTTGAAACAGCAGCAGGTACTGTCTGCCTGTGGCTTGAAATGGCTTGTGTGCAACTGGCTGGTACATGTCATGTTTTGTGGCAATGCTTACTGGAGGTTGCAAGCTGTTGGGGTGGTGGGAGCCTCTCTGGCTGCAGGTATACCTGCAGCCATGGAATTTTTTTGCATTTCATCTTTGTTTAGGATCCGCAGTAATATAAATACTTAAACTGCACTGTGGAAGGCACGGTGCAGAATGGATGTGATTTTTATCCCTAACCATAGCTTTTGAAACATGCTCATGTGCTTTCAGGCCAGTATGTGTTACTACCTAGGCTAGTTTCTAAAAGTGAGCTTGTTTCCCCTATGATTTCTTTTAGATTTAATAACTTGTATATTATCTATATACCTTCTTTTGTATTATCTCATCTTACTTTTATATTATTTCTTCCTATTTAAGAATTGCAATTAATAAATATGTGTTAATCATTCATAAACACAGATATTTGTTAGTATTAATAAATGGTAGTGGCTTAATTGCCTTGTAGGTGATGTTTTCCTACAGAATAAAGAAATGCCTTCAACAAAGGAAAGCATCTCTTGTTCTTTATTGCAAGGAATCCTTGAAGTGGCTATTTCCACTTAAAATTGAAGGCTTCGTGGATTTCCAGGAATCCTAGGATTTGTTTCTATTGATAGAAGACATTGTTTGCTTTGAGGTTTGCCTGTGTTTATAATTATTCTTTTGCATTTACTGCAGTCTCTAAGTAGGTTAAAAATCCTTATGGCCCAGTCTTAAAGGATTGGTAATTCTGACCCTGACTTATACCGCAGCCTTTCTAAGTTTCAGTGCACAGACTTCTCCTTTTCTTGTTGTCTTTTCTTAACCTATTTATAAAAAATATCTTACTTATTATGAGTAAATATTTGTTATTATTTTTCACACTTTGCTACTGTTTTTGGTGGAGGGTTTTCTGGCACTTTTTTTAACTGGAGGAGAAGTTGCCTATCTCACTTTGTAACACGGGAGGCAGATGGTTCAGTGAGTCCTAGGAGCCACCCTGGTGGTCTAAGCCCCATTGTTTCAGGCACACTGTAAATCTAAAGCAAAACTTTTTTGATTTCTGTCCCAAAGAACTGACTGCTTTCTTGAGAACTTTATGAGTACTTCCAAGAACACAGTTGATGCATACTGTCCCGTGTGAAAGAAGTGACTGGATTACATAAATTGATGTTCGTAGCCTGCCAAAGAGCGAATACCTTCCCTCATTCCTGAGGCTGGGGTTTGGCTCTTGTAGGCCCCGGAAACATGCTGTGTCTGCATTAATATTTCTATTAAAAAACACATTACAAAATATTTTTGAAAGTTAAATGTACTTCATGTTTAGATACACAGTAACTAATATGTAGAATATGAGTTACTTAAATTCACACGTGTTTGTAGCTTGTGGCTGTTTTTAATGGTTATTTTTTTAATAGAAAAAAACAACCCACGAACAGAAACCAAAACAAACACTCTCCTCCCCAACTTTCTAAGAAGGCATACCCAGTTTGCATCTGAAGTGCCAAACTCTTCGAACATATATAGTATCTAAGAGGTATTCAACCAGGAGATACTTTATTTTCTTTCTTCCGTTTAGAAGAAGATGTAATATAGGAAGCCGTGATAATTGCATCCAATATCTTATAGAAATAAATGTTTTTGTGCTTAGATGGCAAACGGTAATGTTAAGGATTTCTTAGCGTGTGGAGACTTGAGCAGTGCTGTCTAGCAGAGATTTGTCACAGGTGCTTTTTGGTACATGGTTTCTGCCGTTAATTGAAGTAGAAATGCTTGTAGGCAGACCTGCGTGCACAGTTATTTTCACTATGGTAACTAGTGTTTTGACCTTTGCTGTACAAATTTTAGAACACAAGACCAATTGTAAGTCAGTCATTCTTGTCCCAAAAACCTTCTTTGCCTTTTCCCTTCTCTCTGGGCAAGTACCAGTAACACTGCCCAAGTACAATTCCCCTCGCTTACTCTTTGGGGGAGTGCTGCTCTACACACTCCTCCTCTGCCCTGGCAGAGGTGGGGTTGGCAATCAGCATCTGCCCTTCTATAGAAATTGTTTTGCCTTCAGGAGAGCCACTGCTGAGCACAGTTCAAGGCTTAACTGGTTGCTTGTGTTAGTAACCTAGCTACAAACGTAATCGGGTGTGCAAAGTATGTGGGGTTTTCTTGTGGTTTTTTTTAATAAGTGATATAATCTCACCTTTATGATCTCTGCACATAGGAGATATAGTAGCCAGGCTTCCCATCATAGGTGTGAAATGTTCCTCTGTGAGCTTTGAAGATTTATTTTTTTCTCGGTTTTGGTCAAGCATGTGGCAGGTTTATAATACAGTATTCCTGGGGGAACTGACTTGATGGTGCAGTCACCATCAAGCAATCATTTTGGTGTTATCTCTGAGAAATTGGAAGATAGAATAGAAATCTGAGGTAAAGAACTTCCTTGAGAAAGAGGTGCCAACTTATTTTGAAACTTATCCCACTGGATAAATTTAGGAGAAATTTGGCTTTTTGTCAGGAAGGCTGATTTTTTTGTTTGTTTGTTTTAGTATTTTATATCTTCTAAGTTTAACTGTTAAATCCAAAATCTTAATAGTGATAGTAAGATATATCTGAATAAATAAGTGTTGGTTTCTTGAGTTCTAAAAAGCAAGGTTGTAAGTCACTATTGACTCGCTGTATCTAAAATGTGCATCATTCACAAGACAATGCCTAGGCCTAAGGTTTCCCATGATGGAATTTAATAGCAAGTGATTCCAAAGTTTTGTCTGTTTGTACTATCTGTCTAATAATAATTAGAATTCTGTTTCTTTTATTTTGGGGAGAGAAATAAGACCAAAACATTATTGTCAAGTTCTTTAATACTGTCTACTTTGAAATACATTTGGGGAACAGAATACTGGGTAGGATAGGAAGCTGAAAGAGGCTGGAGTGATTTGGAAATCACTTTGATTTTATTTTCAACAAAAATCAATTCAAATATGTAAAAAGATTTTTGTATCTTGAATTCTGTTCTGTAATAAATAATGTTTAGTTTGGAAATCTTTCCTTAATCTTTGAAAATGTTTCATAATGAAAATACTTTTACGTATTATGTACTAATGGAAAAATACTGGTGCTGTTTCACCGGAACAAAAATAAACAAAGTGAAGGCAAAAGGTGAGTCTTTTCAAATCTCTAGCTCAGTCTAGCTCTAAGAATAATATTAGAGTATGGCTAGTTAGGAATGTCTTGTCTTCTGTTTAGACCTCAGACACATTTTTAGACTGTTGGTTGTTCTTCCTCTGATGTTTATGGAAGCAGTTTGATTTTTAAATGAAATCTGAATTCATTTGTACTGGAATTTGGTTAGCAGGGGAATGCACTCTGTTTTCAAAAATAATTCTTTTCATTTAACTAATTTCTAAAATTTAAGTCAATGTAATGAATGTATTGCATATGGAAACTAATCAAGGAAAACAAGCTTAATTATGTCTTCCATCTTTCTGACAGGTTGTGAAGATGAGAAAAGACGTGAAGAAGGCCAGAGTCCTGGCTATTCGCAGACTAACCAGACACATCGGGAAATTAAAGTTGAAAAAGTCAGTTTTAAATACCAGTATTCTTGTTTGTGTGTTTATAAATGAGATGGTATCTTCATTATTTTCCCAAAAATGGAGAAGTGGCAGAGACATGTATTACATTTAAAACTTACAGCACTATGATGCATAAATTCTATTTGTCTTATTTTTACATCACTTCTGATAGACTAAAAATACTAACTAAAAAGGAGATTCATAAATCAGAATTGGGATAACATTTTTTTTAAAGGGATTTAGTGTATTGGAAGCTAATCCCAATCAGTTACAAAACCGTTTACAGCACTTTTAAAAGTGTCAGACTTGGTCTTTTAGGTTATTCTGCTGTTGAACATAAGTTATGCAACGTTTTCTCACTGCCATTGTATGCAAGGTTCTATAGCGAAAAATATTGTTTAGTTTGCATAGATATTCAGGTTATACTTGAATTTTAATAAATAGTATTAATTAATATTTAAGTAAATAGTTAACATTTTGTTATGTTTTTAAAGATAACTGGCCAAAGTAACTTAGGATGTGTCTTGTTGGAGACAGTATAAGATATATCTGTTACTGTGTTCAAAGTGTTAATTGAGCGTACTATTCTCCCACAGTTTTATCAAATTGTGCAAAATGAGAAGCAATCCCAATGATCTTTTATATTTATATACAGACCTTAAAATGTAATTATATTTGAGATATCAGTGTCTTCTATGTATTATTGATAGGAATTGTAGTTACCATTTTCTAATAAAGTGACACTTGTCTGCCTTTTTATTCTGGTAAATCCTCAGTGTTTTTTCATCTCTTCAGAGCAGCAGAAGCATTAGATTATGTCCCACTCTTTGCTAAAATGTTCATTTAACAACAAGGGAATGTGTTTATGCTCACTCTTGTGATATTTTTATTTTGCTACTTAGTATTAGCCCACGGGGAAATAAAGTGAACAAAACCCAGATTTTCTTAATAAAGACAGACTTCATTTGCAGGGGTTCAGAAGACTTGAAATTAAAGAACCAAAAACGAGTTGAGAGATTAATAGAAGAGATCCATGCGATGAAGGTAATACCACGTTTAGATATTTACATTTTAGAGGCAATTAATTTTAGTAACAAAAAGCTTTGTCTGTTTTCTGGGACTGCTTTACTGAAACTTAACTGAAATATTTCCAGAGTCAGCTTGGTCATTACTGTAGCACAGCTGGAAAATTATGAATATTTACATATTTCCATGTTTGTTTGCTGCATCTGTCAAGGTTTTTGACATCATCAGTCAACACAATTTGAGCCTTAAGCTTGCCAGGCTAAACATGAATTTGTTTAGAAATGCGTGGTGCTTGAAGTTTTTACTGTAACAGTTAAAGCATAGAAATTAAAGTTCTCATGCAGCTCAGGAGTATGGGAAGCATTTTGTGTGCCTGACAATACAGTGTCCTTGTTGTCAGTACTCTTAGCTTTAAGTATGATGCTACTTGTATTTTACTTTCAACTTGAAATGTTGTAGTTTGATATTTTAGCTGCAAGGGACTGGTAATGCATGAGTCAAACCTTTTTTTGTCTTCAGCCTTGCTGTCAATTGATACAGTTTTTGTATGTTGTACATTGTGACGTATCACCAAATGCTTCAGAAATTTTATAATTTTCTAATGTTTTGTACTAGTCATATCTCAGTTTTAACCGATACTGCTTAAAATTGTGTGTGTTGAAATGAGGCACAAACTCCAGTCATAAAGCTTGAGCAGAAGAGTCCTGTATAGGCCAAGAAAACTGTTTTCACATAAAATGGCTGTTTTGTTTGTTTTTCCTTGATGACTGTAATGATTAAATCACCCTTGCCATTGTGTGTATTGTTTGTTTGGGTTTTTTTTAACCTTTCTCTCTGGTTTTTTCTTTCCTGATCCTTGCACAGATCTTAGTCTTCAAAAAAGCTGTTAACTGGAAAGGCTTCATTGACACATTTAGATATGCATTGTGCCAAATTCATCAGGTGGAATTGTAGGCGTTTTTAGCATGGTACTTACAAAACAAGAGTCCTCACAAATCAGTAAAGGGAAAAAGAAAATGGGCAGCACTGTATTAAAGGGTGAAGCACTGGCCAAGCAACATGACAGTCATATTGAAGCATTCTGGTTTTCTCTCTTGCCATCCATTTTGAAGTTGGTCTTGTGATTTCTTTTTTTTTATGACGCATTTATGTGTCTATTGAGGCATGACTAGGACTCTGGAAAAGTCGGTTTCTAAGAGGATCTGTGAAGTGATCAGGTGTGGTGCAGCACTAAGCTCACAAACCCATGTTTTATGGGGCTTCTGTGACTGCTCTTGAGAGGCTTTCACTGCAAGATCCATTCTGCACATATCTCCCAGAAGTGTTCGCTTTGTCCACATTGTGCTTTTTCTTCCAGGAATGGCTTGTGCAGACATCTTAAAGGCTGCCTGCACTCAGAACTGTATTGGCCAAGTATGTTCAAGCTGTTTCTTCAGTTGGCATTAATGAGTGCAGGACTTGTAAGTGTTAACTTTAAGAGTGATTGTCAAGGGAGGGTAGATTTATAATCTAGAGAGCTGAAGGCAAACAGATTTTGCTTTGAAATAGCTTATAGAAAGGGGGGAGTCTTCAAAGTGAGCAGCTAAGAGGAAAAGCTCTTCTGCTTTTAGGCAAATAACTCCTAAATGTGCTTGGTTATCTGAAATTGTGCTGTAAGCAGCCTATTGTTAAAAAAAATATTCACCCTTCTATTAATATTTTTATAGCAAAAAGGTTGGTTTTCTTGGGGTTTTTTGTCTTTAAAAATGAACAGACACTTACTAGCTCTACAGTGTATTTGTTCCTTAGACAAAAGAAAAATTCCTGTTTCTTATGAATCACAGCCGAAAAGGCACTAGTTGTTTACATATTTTTGCACCACTGTTGATTTCTAGACTAAGAGCTTTTTTAGAGTTGGCATAGAAATCGTCCTCATTCAGCATGGAATAGTAACAAGACAGCTTTCACAGGAATCATTGATGTTATTTGTGATAGTGGGAGATTTTATATTGGCATAATGTCACTCCCAGCAACCTTTTGTCTTAAGTTACTGATCATAGGATTCGTAGAGAACTCTTTGTGTAACCTGAATGGGTGTTTTAGAAATTTTAGGAAAGAATGGACAGAATAGAAATGGTTAATAAGGTAAATTGGTAAGCAGTCTACAAAGTTGCAACTTAGAGCAGGCTTGTATCATCCAGAGTATTCTAGCAGTTTCAGTGTGTGGATCCCAAACACTTGGCAGAGGAGTTGTCAATCCTTTCACAACTGACTGTGTGCAGGATATAGGAATTGGTCATTTTCCATATAACATGCAGAAATAATCCATAAACTTCTACTTACATGTTTTATGTAAGAAAAAATGTCTGCCTTCTCCCTTACTGAATGTTTAGTCTTGAGGAGTGTAGCAAGCTGCAAAGAGAAGTTCAGTTGAAAAGACAAAACCCAGCAAAAATAATTACACCAGGCAAAGGGGTTTGGAGCCAGAAAGTGGATGTTACACCAGAGTCTGTGTATTTTCAGGTTAAAAGATTTCTTGAGATGGCTACTTACAACTTCTAGAACTTCTTTACTGGCTGGACAAAGACTCAAAAGGTTGCTGTAGATTGAAGAAAATATATCTTTGAAAGAAAAGGAAAATGGTACAATTTTTTTCTGTTTTTCCCAGTTGTCAAAGACAGCACACCTCTTTCTAAATATGCATATTTATTCCATCAGTCAAGAACAGACCCAGACCACCTTTCCCCTACCATATATCCACGAAAAAAAAAAAAAAAAGCCTTCTGGGGACTGTTGTCATGAATAAGGTCTCTTGTGAAGACTTTATGTATCCTCATGACCTCAGAAGGCATGAGAGGAGGGTTCCATTTCACAGGGAATTTGTTTCAAGCTCAGAGAAGAGACTGAAGTTCTGGGACCTTGACACAATTGTCTGTCTTACTGAAGTTTTTAATGCAATGGCTTGTTTCTGTTACTCAGGAAAAAAATCTGAGGGGTTGAAATCCCAATAAAGGACAATTCCTTGCCTTCTTAAGAATGACATTTCTGCATTCAGCTGCCTGTAAACCCACAAACCTTTTGTATTAGTTCATTTACTCGGGAAATCTGTTTCTTGGTCAGCACAGTGTTTCAGTATGGCTGCTGCCACTTTGTGGAACAACTGTTATCTTTCATCCAGACTGTAACAAAAAAAACCCAAAAAATCAGTTGCCTGATGGTGCATCTGTTGTTACAGGCTGGCTTCCTGAAGCTCAGCAGAACTTGTTAAGGGCTGCAGTCCTGAATGACACAAATCTGAACTTCCAATTACAAAATCCTAACTTCTCTTTCTAGTGTGGATCTCTACTACTTACAATCTGATATTATAGGAAGGAGAAAATGCTTGCTCTTCTTTGATAACTCTTGTCCTATCTTGTCTTATTTGATAACTCTTGGGGATACTTTTTTCCTGTCTTCAAGTAGACTAAACAGGCACTGCTGACATAATTTCTCTGTAAATATACGTTTCCTAGGAGTGGGATGTAATTGGATGCTCACTTTTCAGGTTCAATACTGTGTCTGTGACTACTTTTTTTAATATCCTACACATACTCACACAGGCACAGTTCTGCATATATTGAAAACCCAGGAAGTGTTGGTGCTGGGCTGTATTGAGAAACTTTTTGTTACTGAAATTTGCAAATAGCATATATTGTTGTGTTATTTTTGGAATTACATTTAATTTTTGATTCTATACGTTTGCATTGTTAAAACTGGAGATTAATATAACTTAATTGGCAAATACAATTAATAATGTCTCAAGCAGAACAATCAGAAGTAAACATTGTGGAAAATGAGAGCAGTTAAAAATTCCAGCTACGTGGATGCAGGAACTGGGTTAATTGTTTGCAGGAGTTCTCAAAGCTATTGGAATAGTACACTGTTTTTTGAGTTCTTCAGATTTCTTTTTGCCAAAACTGTATAAAATATTTATTTAACGATTCATGAAAGATGGAGAAAAAAGAACAGTATGATCTATCCTAGTCCATCTACTATGATACTACTTCTTTAAAATATAAAGTTGTGTATACTTACAGGAATCTTTTTACTTGTTTGTCAGGCTGGATGATACTGTCAAAATTGATTAATTATCCATTGTAGAGTACTTCTTACCGTATTTAGGAAGCTATGATTTTTTTTTTTAAAAGTTTCTTTACACAAAAATAACTGATTGTCTAGTGATTTCTTAGCAACATCAGCTTCTCTTGAATTGTTAAGATTTCTTGGCTGAAATTAGGTCTTAATACAACTTTATGTCGTTGCTTTACTGTGTATTTAGGAGTTGATTTTTCCTTTATCTTATAACAAAAAGCTTGGTATTATGGCAAGTGCTGCTATCGCAATATCGTGTTTGGAGGATTCCCATTAATGAGGTGTGGACAAAAGACTATTTGTAGCGCTTGAAGGGAAGATGTCTTCCACTTGTTGGGAATGAGCAGCAGTTGGTCACAACCATTATTAAATGGCTCGGAAAGATATGTTCTCTACCCTGAAAATTATCACTGGAGACACAGATAAGTCAGTACAATGTCAGTCTCAATTATTTTCTCTCAACTTTGTATTTAACAAGATATGAACGGAAGTAGAGTTAAGTATGAACTCTAGTATTACTGTCAAGCTTTTGAAAGCCAAAGTGTTTTGTAAAGGTAGAGCTTCAGTCTGAAGCATGTTTTCACAGTCTTTGGAACACGAATCATCCATCATTCATGAAAGTAATAGCAATATGGGTGAGAAAGGGATTTTGCTCAGGACTGGGTAACTGGTGATTTTTAGAGTAGGTCAGCCTAAGGAAGCTGATACGTCTTTCTTTTGGTATGGTCTTTTTGAATGGAGTTTTTGTATCTTGAAATACCAAACTTTTTTAAAAAGCTTTATCATTTTTTTCTAACAGTAGTGGTTTCTTTATTGGTTAATTCTTTCATCTTCTGTAGCCTTGGTTTCAGTTAACATCTCACTGTAGAATTGTGTTGAGTGAGGACTAACACACTGTTTGCAGTTTT